TTTGAGTTTTAAGGGTCCTTTGTGTATTTTGAATGACAGAGGCTCCCCACGGATCCTACCTCCACCGAGGTGTGCTCGTCTCCCAGCTCTCCGCGTCCTCCCTGCCTGTAGCTTCTGCTGGAACGAAATTGCTGAGTAAAAATGAAAGGATATATTCACTCCTTCAGCAGTCTGTCCCGTCCCGCTACTCACACGTGGGGGGTTACGTGAGCGAGTAAGGACAAGATCAGTTTTGAGTTGACTTGAGTTTACTGTTACCTTTCATGGCCAAGGGACCTGAGCTTTTGGGACTAGTTTTTTGTGAAAAATGGCATTTCCTGGAAGGAAGAGTTTTGTTAGGGAATTTTTCTCCATGGGTTTCTGAATGAATGATTACAGCGAAGAATCATGTATAGATTGGTAAATGTTTAAAGAATTAACGGAATACTTTTTCCACAAAATGCTCTTGTGTTTCCTGATTGATCGCTTTATCCAGACATTTGTGACGAAATTTCCAATACCTTTCAATACTCTTCCTACTGTGTTTTGCTGGATTGTAGCCTTCTTCCTTGACCTTGAAACTAACCTTTTGTAATTCTAAGGCTCCATTTTTGTAAAACTGAAAAATTAACTGTTTCTTCTTTCACTTTTAATGCTATCTTTATTTTTGCTGATGTTGTAGTGTTTGCTTTCGAAGAAAGGTCCATTCTAGATCATCTTGCTATTTTAGAAGATACACTTTGAAATGACAATAAACCAAGTCTGGTGGAGGCACTTGTCACACTGTGTTTAGTTTTATCCACCTGCCTTTCAGAGCCTGGGTTCATCGTCAGGCTGGTCGTGAGTGTCTGTCCGACGCAGGCGTTTCCGTGGGTGAAGGCGTATAGAGCAAGGCATTAAGAACATTATTCAAATTGTTAAAAACGAAAAAACTAAAGTTATTTAAAATATCCCTAGTTTCTCCCAAATGTATGTTGCTTCCTTTTTTTTTTTTTGACCTTCCATGTCACGTTTTTGGTGCTTGTTACTGGTTTTGTTTTTTTTTTTTTTTTTTGTTTTTGTTTTTGTTTATTTGTTTTGTTTATACATGCACTGGGTACAGTCAGAAGCACGGGAGGGTGAGAGAATTCACCAGCCAGAGCGGGGGGCAGAGCAGGCAGAAGGACCGAAGGACACTGCTGAGGGGAGCAGCGGGCGGCAGGAGAGGTCTGCGCGCCATGTGGGACCCTCCTCCGGGGGCCGGGGAGCAGCCGGGGATCGAACCTGCGCTGCAGAGGCTGCGGGCAGCTTCGCAACCCAGCGCTCAACCGCTGCGCCACCAGGGAGCCCTTGTTACTGGTTTTGATAAAACATTTGAAATAAGGACTAGAAGATGAGGCGGGTCAATGATTAAAAGTGTGTGCTTTGATTCTAGAGGTACCAGATCTTTTTTTTCTCGTTTCTTAAAAGAAAAGTATAACTTTTGAAGATTTTATTTGTAAAATTGACTCTGTACTTTATACCCACTGTTTAAATTCCTTGGTGATGAATATGCATGTTGGAATAGTGAAATCCCATCTTTTACATAATGCTTTAATGGAAATGGCAGTTTTATGAAATAGAAGTGACTAGTAAAACCCTGAATGATGCTCATAAGCCCTTACATCATTTTTATTGAGGTTTTTGTGTATTCTCATTCATTAATACAGGGGAAAGGCGCACAGGCGCGTGGTTTATGTCCTATAATTACTCAAATCGAATAGAATTTATTTTCAATAAAATTCCTAGAGTAAATTGCCTAGGGTGGAGAGAGAAGAGTTGGTCTGTTTTCACAAAATGTCTTGATTTTTACTCATGAGGTTTGTTTTTAAACACCAGTGATGTTGTTCGCTTGCATATATTTTTAAGTATATTTACCTCCAGACTTTTAAAAATAAACCCAAGAAATCCCGAACATCTGAGGCCTGGGATGAAGTGCTGATGGGAAATTTGGGATATTTATTTCACTACTGCTCTCACTGTCTTTTAATGCTTTAGACTGCCTTTTATGTCTTCATATAGGTTGAAGCCCTGGTGAGCTACACAGTAGCTAAGCTAGGGGAATTTCCAAAAACAACGTCGTGTTTACAGTTCACTTATTTTTTAAATAATCGAGAGAAGAGGTTAATATAAGGAACAGTTAAATGGCTCACCCCCCTCCCTTCTTAAATTCATGAGATGGGAAGGGGCGGAGGAGATGCTGAAAACTGAAAGTGTTTTTAATTTCGTCACCGTGGAGCTTGCCAGTACCCTCCCTTCTGCTCTTGGTGTACCTCAGAACACCTTGGAAAAATCTGTGACATTTGGATGTATTTGTGGGCCATTATGAACTCTTGGCATTCTGATCTGAAGATGTTTCCATGTTCTTAAGGCAGAATTTTGGCAAAACTATTAACTTTACGCTTATATCTGGGAAGCTTTAGGGCATGATAATCTATGAATCACACTTGGACTGACAGTGAGTTCCTTTCCCCCAGGCTTTCCATCTGGAAAGCACCCCCTGTTCAGGTGCCTGTCTGTGTCCACACGTGTCCGTGTTCTGGGCCTCCCGGCAGTGTGCTGTGTGAGGCCAGGGATGGACATGCGTGCTGGCTGCGCCCACTCGGGTTTGGCGCTTCATGGTGCGCGCGTCCGTTAAGCGGTTTTCTTTTACCCTTGCTGAAGTGCTCCCCACCCGAAGCGAGCGGAGACTTCATGGGAGAATGCCTCCCCTTCCCTGTGAGGCAGGCTGCTGCAGTGAGTCTCAGAGCTGCCGTCTGTGAACCCCTAACACTGCTCTGCACCTGGTGACCTGGCCCGCCTTCTGTGCTTGAGACTCTTCCCAGGCCTCGGGTACCTCTACTTCTCAGTTAGGAGGTCCTAAGCCTGGTTGTGAGGGAGGGAGGGAGAGTGAGTGAGTGAGTGTGTGTGTGTGTGTGATGCGCAGCACCATAGATCCGCCTTCCCCCCCCACCTGACCGCAGTCACACCTGCAGTCCCTGCCCACCTGCCCAGAGGGCCAAGGGTGAGGCTTACGGGAGCGGTAAGTGGCTGGAGAAACACTTTTGCGTCCTTCCTTCCTGGTGTTGCCGTCGTCATGGGCTGAGGGCAGCTGACGGGGGAGTGCCCCAAGCAGGAGTGACCCAGCGTGGAGCCGGCCCGAGCGACTGGGACACATGCGTGCCCAGAACTCGCCACACTGCAGGGTCGCACAGTCCAAACCGCAGGCCTGGGGGTTGGGGGTGGCAAAATACACAAAACTGTCTGACACACTCACACAGGAGCCTAATCAGCGCAGTCGCACAGCTTTACACCACTGAGGTGGGCAGGAACTGCAGAAGTCCTCAGTGAACTTGGCGCTTCTCCTCGCCAGAGCCCTGGTGTGTGTCTGTGGCGGCGGCGGGCTTGCTGCCGTGGGTCCCTGTCATATGGGGGAAGGAGGGCGGCCTGGAGGGGAGCGCCAGCTGTGGACAGGGGTGGCTCCCAGCCCGCAGGGCGAGTGGAGGTGACTAGCGGGGGTTGGGGTGTGTGTATTTTGCGGATGTCTGTGCGCTGGAGGCCGTCTGTGCTCACCTGGCAGGCCGCGCACAGGAGCACACGTGCCATTCGTTTCATGCTCAGATTGTCCCCGCGTGTGCACATCAGTCACACGGCAACCCGTTCACGCCAACACAAGCTTTTAGTAGAACTGACCGTAGTTTATTTGATTTCAGAATTGAGTCCCTTTTCCGTTTGACCATTATTGATTTCTTAATTTATGTTTAAGTTAAGCCCATATCAAATTGATTTTTCATACACGGAGCACCTCTAGAAGAGAGAGAGCAGCTTAAGATTTTAATTTTGTCAGCAGTAATTCACAAGATCGTTTCCTTCCTGAGGAAGGCCAGGCCCAGTGCTGAGGGCCATGGAAACCACTTGTGGGGTATGGATTTGAGTCTCTTCGTTGGGTCTTAGAGGACAGGAGACCCATTGGGCATTTCTCAGTCTAAACACGAAACACTCCTCGCCACCCCTTGTCTTCCTTTCCTGTAGATGTGAGATCAGAGTAGAGTGCTTCCGGAGGGAACGCAGTTGCCATTTACTTGGCAGACAGATGTGAAGGGGGAGGGGCCTCTTGGGACCTCCTGCTGGGCTCCCTCGTGAGGCTAGGGGTCAGCCTGGATTGGGGAGTGGGGAGGAGCGGGTCTCAGGGCTACGTGAATAGTTTGGCCCCCCTTTTGCTAACACCCCTCCCCCCAGCACCTGCCTGTGCTGTTTGTGTCAGCACAGATGATGTGGAAAGAGCGCCTGTATCGTTAATATTCATTACCTCGGGTGACAAGGGGAAGCTTATTAACTTCCTCTTTATACATCTTTTATTGTTCGGCTTGTTTTAAAAAGCATGTTTTACTTTTTTAATTAAAAAAATCTAATAAAGTAGGAAATGAATAAATAATAATAATAAAAACTACCCCAGGGCACTGAGCTCTGTTGCAGTCTTCCTGATAGCCTTTCAGGCTGACGTGACGGTTCAGGTGTGGGCCGGGGCCTAAGGGGCCGGGGCCTTCCCGGCAGCGGCTGTGTGGGGTTTCTGTGCTTGTGGACCACCGGCCCCTCAGTCGTCTCAGAAACCTGCTGCTCTCGGCACTCGCCCCAGGCTAGTGCTGTCCCTTCTCCCTGGGAGAGTCCGTCTAGCTGGTGGAGGGCTTGGCTCTGGCCTAGGTTAAGAACTGGTCCTGGGTCCAGGCCTCACCTGGTTACCTTTCCTCGCTAGCAGGAGAACAGACAAGGAGCTGTGTGCCCACACCCCGGTGTGCTGGTCTGCGAGGCCATGAGAGGCGAGCGGCCGGGCTCTCCCTGGTGCCGGCGGCCGGGAGCCTGGACCGGGACCCAGCGTGGCAGCTCCCGCTCCTGCCCGTGATGGTTCGGGGCCTGTGGACTTCCCTGGACCATGGTCCATCTCCTGGCCAGCCCAGACATTAAGTGGGTCACTCCTGAGAGAGCTCCTCGCCAGATCCCCAGTCACCCTCTGTCTCCTTCCGCAGGGCCCTTCACCGATGTCGTCACCACCAACCTGAAGCTGGGCAACCCCACAGACCGGAATGTGTGCTTCAAAGTGAAGACCACGGCGCCGCGTAGGTACTGCGTGCGGCCCAATAGCGGGGTCATCGACGCCGGGGCCTCCATCAACGTATCTGGTAAGTCCTGAGGCTGCGGGCCACAGGGGGCACAAGGCCCTCGAGGCAGCGGGAGTCCTTGCAGCTTGTATTTGGGGATGGCAGAGCCAGATGGTGGACCCACCCCAGCCCCTGGTGGACGGCTCCGTGGCCTCCCCTCGTGTTCCTCCGTGGTTAATGCCTCTTCGGTGTAGTGCTTACGGCCTCTGCGCCTCAGTAGTTAGAGCAAAATTAAAGTGGCAACTTCAGGCTTGACTTCAGAATGAGGTTGGTTTTCACGCCCTTGAAATTAAATCTGCCCTTTGGCAATAAATAAAAAGGGCTAGACAAACTTAATTTTACTTTGTGGGAGAACACTGAATGGAGTTATTTTCTTATTTAAGCTAAATGATTTCTGACATTAAGCTCATGTCATTTCCAATGATTGGTGACGGCGCTTTACAGATTGTGGAGAGCTGAGGGGCTGAGGGCCGAGGAGACTGGAATATATTCAGGGGTGGAAGTTTCCCCCTGCTCTCTGAGCGTGAATAGATTTCCAGAGTCCAACTTCTGAAAAGATGCTGGTAAAGTGCCCAGATTGAGAATTGGATTCCAGCATTAAGGAGATGTGAGTGACGGGTTTGCGCGCAAATGTAGTTTATCAACGGAGTCGACTCTGAGCGCGTCAGAGCCTGTGGCCCCCGGAATGCCTTCGGTGCCGCGGGGCACGCCGGGGCGCACCCTTTTCAGTGTCAGGAGGCCGTGTCTCCAAGGGGCCTCACTGATCGAGGCTGCTGCTCATTTGAAACCATCTCCCAGCTGGCTCCTCCCATGACAGATTTTGATTGTGTCCATTTGGCTATTTTAGTTCGAAACCTAAAAGAGAGTGGGGAAGACACGAGGAGTTTCGTTTTCTGACCACTGCTGCAGCCCCATCCCGCCTGCACCCTTGGTCTCCCCTCTTGGACCCCACCCGACTTCTCCCCTGCGCTCCTCTCTGCGCCGATCTCTCTGGGACCGACTGTCATCCGAGGGGCGCGGGTGGGAGCCGGCCTTTGCCGAGGGGCTTCCAGCGCCGGGCCTGAGCGCCTAGTACTGCGTGCAACTTCTGTTCCTGCTCTGCACTGACGCACCCCAGCACGGAGGCCAGGGGTCGGGGTTCACGAAGCCCGCAAGTGACAGAGCCAAGGTGTGGCTCATTCTGCCTGGCTGGGAAGCCCCCGGGCCTGGCAGTGCCTCACGGAGGGGAAAGGAGGGCCCTTGGGTGTTGGTATTTCTGGATCCCTCAGAGCCGTGTGGTTTCAGTTTCGCTGTTGAAATCAAGGGCAGCAGAAATCTTGTTGGTCCCTCCTTTAATTGTCTTCCTTTCTCCTCTCCATTTCCTTGCCCCTCTCAGATGTGAGTGAGGTGGGCATTGTATGTGGGCAGCAGCGTGGCCTTCTGAACACGGCCTCCAAGGCAGTTGCGCAGGGAGGTGTGCTCACCAGCATTAAACATACGTGTGCGTGTGTCGCGTTCATGGAAACACGCCCCCTGGCCCCCATGGTGTGTGTGGTTTTTTCTAAACAGTATCTAACTCGGGGACTTTGTCGTGATTACCTGTGTAAGGACGACCACTGATCTGTGGTTGGGACCTTCCTTTTGCAGATCAGAAGGTAAGAGCTACAGGGAGTGGCGTGATCACCCGGGGCACGTGGGTAGGGAGAGCAGAGCTGGCATTGAAGTCTTTGCTCCTGATCTGGGGCTCTTCTCCAGTACGTCCTGGGGTGGCCCTTAAAGTGTGATGTCCTTGGGGAAGAAGCAATTGAATAATAAATGTCCGTGTGTCTGCAGGCCGCCTCCTGGCTGAGACCAGGTAGATGATGTGCATGCCTGGAAAAGGGCGCCTTTGTTCTCATCCTGTGTCACGCACCTCCATGCTTGGGGGGCACCTGGCTGCCGGCAGCTGTCCTGCCCTTCCCCATGGCAGCTGTCCTGGCTTCTCCCAGTTAGCAGAGGGGACCAGCCCAGCCATGCGGTTTTATGTGCTGAGGCACCCCTGCAGCCTCTCTCCGACATTCCTCTCTTGGGGTAAAAGCAGTGGCCTTTTCCAGGGGTCCTCTTACGGGGCGCCTTGGTGGGTAGGGAGAGACTGCTGAGGACAAGGACGGGGCCAGCCTGCCTTTGTCCAGGTGTGCGGCCACCGCCAAGCTGAGTCTCCCCACCTCAGCAGACATCAGCTAGACTGGGGGTCCAGAAACCTGAACAGGAAGCCCAGCTCTACTGTTGAACATGTTTGCGATCTTTCAACGCCCGCCCCTTACCTGCCCTCGCTCCTGGTGTCTCGGGTCATGTGGGAGGGAGTGTCTGCTCACGGGGTACGTGGACGCTGCCTTGTAGCGTCGCTGGACTCTGTTGAAGGTGGAGTACACATATTTGCACTGCCTTTGAGAAACAGATTCTGTGTATTTTATTTACGAACTTTTTCTGATTTTAATTAGAAATTCATGGTTTTTTCTTTCCATAAAATGCATTTGTTTCATAGTGAAAAACTGCTAGTAAATTTTTAAATATAATCTGTAAAATGGCAGCTTTCAGATCATCTTAAAATACTGCTGTCACTGTCCTGCTTACCACTTGGAGTGTCACAGCTGCCTGCAGAGGACACGACTAGTGCATTATTCCTCTCCCATTTCTGAGAACCCTTGGGACGCGCTCGCATTAGAGGAGGTTCTAAGTCAGCCTCTGAGGGGTGGGAGGGAGAGGAGCCGGCCAGAGTAATGCAGTGTTTGAAGGTTCACAAGGGGTGTAGGGGACCGGGTGGCCAGTGCCTTCTCAGCTTTCCCGTTAACCAGGGCTCAGGGGACCTTCCATTATGCATTGGAAGTCTGGGTTCTGGCCTAACATGTTATTTTCTCCAGAAAATGGCAAATCATTCGTTTTATAAACCTAGGTGGTAGCTGAGCTTCTTGGTGCCAGTAGGTGGAAATGTGTGGGCTCCCCTGAGGGCTTGAGGAACCTGGTCGCCCAGGCCGCGTCTGCCTCTCCTCCCTTGTCCTTCAGCTGAGCGCGGTCGCCCCTTCTGGGGTCCCTGCCTGGTGAGCGGCAGGAGTGCGCAAGGAGGGGCAGGCGCTATGGTCTGCGTTACTTGGCCCAAGGTGCCGCGGTTTTGGCCCCTGCTCCTGGATACACACCATCTACTACCAGAGGTGGGTTTCGGTCGTTCAGATCTGGACCTCAGCAGAATAGGCACACCTGAATGGAGACTGGGGAAGAGGAGATTGCGTTACCCCCCTGAGATTTTAAATGCAAGAAAAATAGGAGCTTTTGAATTAATGAATTGTTAGAAGTAGTGGGGGGTGTCCCCATTTGTTCTGGCTTTTCAAAATGAAATCTATTTTGTGAACTGTCAGGTGGGAAAATATTTTTAAGTGAGATAATTTCTGAAGATATCTTTGTGGTAAGCTCTTAGTGGTTGTGGATTTTTTTTTTTTTTAATACTGCAGTTTAATAATGAGGGAGTTTTCCATTAATATTCCAAACCATGTTTGCCAGCGGATACAGCAGGTGAAGTGGTAAAATTATGGGCCCATCAAAAATACTTACGCTTCCTGTAATATGATATTAAGTTTAATATTTTTATGACCTTCACTGAATTCGAATTCCATGAAAGTAGCAAGCACACTTCCGCTGGCGGTCCAGTTATGCACATTGGTTGCCTGTGTACCAAGCACATTAGAAATGCAGCCTCTGGTCTGGGGGTGGGGGGCTGGAAGGAGTCGTAGAAACCAGAGTTCAGGTGCAGACACTCTGGACCAGGTGTGCCCTGGGAGCCGAAGGTGGAGAGAGGACACACGCGCGCCTTCTGGTGTCCAAGTCTGTGTTTCAGATGAAAATTTAAAGAATGAAAGAGCAGTTTTCATTCCTGACTAGAGCCCTTTCCAGCACTTATTTCAATCACATTTAAAGCATAAAGTTCTTCCAATAAAACCCTGAGGACAGAGAATCACTCTCAGCAACTCTTCTTGGATGGAAACAGTGGTCAATTAATGTAATTGGGTAGTACTGCGATTGATAATTAATCCTTTTAAGATTTTGCTGACTCAGTTTCGCAGAGCTGCTTGCTTCTCCAGGACCAGCCAGCCTTGGCCTGCAGCTTCGCTTGATTAGCAAGAGAGTTTAAGTGCCCTGCCCTTCGAGAGAGGACCGAGGCATTCATCTGTCAAGCGCTGATAGTGGGAGCTAAATTTGGGGGGTTTGGGCATTTTAACAGCAACATTCTTCTTCGTTTGATCATTTGCTGTGGAGTCTCAGATAAGCGAAGCCTTTTTATAAATGGTTTTTATGAACCAGGCTTATTACTCTCAGATAAGAACAACTCACATTCATACTTAAAAAGCTGTCTTTAATCTTTTTCACCAGATGAGATTCTTGTTTTATAAAACATTACCAACAAAAATTCACCGTGATTGTGCTTTTAGAGAAATTTTAAGTTTATTGTAATATTTGTCTCTTAACAATCCTGTTTCATTTTTTATAAATACAACACAAGTACGGCTTTGTATTTTCAAAGACTCTGATGAGGAGGACTTCTCGGCACTTCTGGTATATACCTTATCTTGCTGAATGAAGGTGACTTAGCTTCCTGCGGCGCGACCTGAGGAGGAGCGTGACCTCAGCCTGACGTAGAGCCACCAGGAGTGATGTTCCTGTCACTGCTTGCAGTTCCTTGCGTGTTCATGCCCTTGAGCTCGGCACTCTGCACTGCACCCCTGCCTCGAGTCAGCCTGGCCTCTTCTGGTGTCCAGCCCGTCCTGGGCCAGGATGAAGGAAGAGGACTGTGGGAGTGGCCATAGCGACAGCCTGGACAGGGGCCCAGAGAGCAGGGGGAGGGCTGGGGACGGTGGTAGGGCCCCACTTCCAGAAGCCTCAGGGCAGCTGGTCTTCCCGTTCAGTCTAGACACAGATCTGTGGGTCGGCCTGAGTTTGTGAGGCCTCCCAGGGCAGGCGCGGTTGGCAGGGGCTGTAATGTGCTCCATGCCCAAGTGGGGTAGGAAACAGGG